AGTCCCCCAGTGATTTGAAGACATCAAGAGATGGAGAATCCACCAGTTCTTTGCTCATTTGTTTCAGCAGCTAATCCTCTTTCCTATCAAATATTTGTGCCTCTTTTCTAGCCAGCAATAGTCTGGCTTCAGCTTTCACTTATTGGCTCTCACTGAGCCATATCTACTCAACGGGGAAAGCAATTCATTTTGATGGGTGGCCAAATGGAAAGTGGCTGAGAGCTACACTGTTCCATGACATTAATGCAGGGTCTGAGGGTATGTCTACACTACCCCGCTAGTTCGAACTAGCGGGGTAATGTATGCATACCGCACTTGCTAATGAAGCCCGGGAAATTCAAATCCCGGGCTTCATTAGCATAAGCGGGGAGCCGCCATTTTTAAATCCCCGCTGCTTCGAACCCCGTGTAGCGCGGCTACACGGGGCTCGAACTAGGTAGGTCGGACTAGGGTCCTATTCCGAACTACCGGTACTCCTCGTGAAACGAGGTGTACCGGTAGTTCGGAATAGGCACCCTAGTCCGAACTACCTAGTTCGAGCCCCGTGTAGCCGCGCTACACGGGGTTCGAAGCAGCGGGGATTTAAAAATGGCGGCTCCCCGCTTATGCTAATGAAGCCCGGGAAATTCAAATCCCGGGCTTCATTAGCAAGTGCGGTATGCATACATTACCCCGCTAGTTCGAACTAGCGGGGTAATGTATGCATACCGCACTTGCTAATGAAGCCCGGGAAATTCAAATCCCGGGCTTCATTAGCAAGTGCGGTATGCATACATTACCCCGCTAGTTCGAACTAGCGGGGTAGTGTAGACATACCCTGAGATAGGTGTTGGGAGAAGGAGCACACTTGGGGTAAAGGTTTGGGTTGCAGAATGTATAGAGGGGTCTAGAAGGGAGTGAGTTTCGGTGAAGGAGACAGGCTGTGATCTAGAACATTAGATTAGCCAACTACTCATTAGGTATTTAAAGTAACTCTAATTTAGAGAAGTGACTTAGTGGACAAACAAGGTGCTGTCAGTTTCTGACCACTGAGATCACTTGCATATATAGCTGCAGGAGGAGGACAGAGCTTTGGTTATGCAGAGCAGGGGCAGGAGTGGGGAGCAGAGATTAGGAGGGAAAGGGAGGGATTGGAATGTCAGAGGCATGCTCTGGACAGGAGACTTATCTGAGTGACTCCTGGCCAGAGGCCAAGCACTTCAGGCAAGCAGGGAGTCTGCCCAATCCTGTCACAGGCTGCAGGGTCATGTCCAGAGGGGAGAGGGAGCGGTGCTTTGTTTCTGGCCAGAAACCGGCCATTAAGATTGCCCTGGGAGTGGAAGCAGCACCTGAAGATTTCCCCCTCCCCTCCGGGCTCACAATCACTTTTTGAGGGACAGATGAGAAGTGGCATCCATGGGCTGGATCCTATGGCTTGGTGGGGTGGATCCGGCACATAGGCTGAGAGCTGACTGGCTTCCACAGTATCAGTTTGTTCATGGCAAGAAACTGCTGGATTCCCAAGGGCTGCTGAGTCTAGTGCAGGCCTGGACAAAATACAACCTATTTATTGTTTGAAACCAACCCCATATTGAAATTGAGCAGTGAAATCTGAGCTTGAAGGTGCCTTCCATTGTATACTTTAATTTCTCCCCTGTAGCATCAAAAACCCATAGACCAGTGTTTCTCCAAGTGTCCACAGGTCCCCATGAAGTACCCTTGGGTCTCCTCACTGATCAGTGGATGAGATTTAGGGCTGTGCGTGCCGTGGTTGCTGGGTTTGGTTGGTAACTTCAATAACAATCCCATGAAGATTTTTTCACAGGAATTTTCTCATCATTTAAAGAATCTCCACCTGCAAACTCACTCTGTCTGAAAGCTGCCAGGGATTTTCTTCTTGCTCTCTCCAGTGCAGAGGGCAGAGTATCTGGTGGGGGAAGGAATAAGAGAGGTGAGATTCCAGGCTCTCCTATTTATAACAATGTCCCACTCTGAACTCTGCATTTCAATTATATGAGAGGCCAGACAGACGGACACTCAGATATTTAGTATGAAGAGTCTGAAACTTTCATTTCCTTTCTGACTCAGGCACCTATCAGCCAATATCCCTGCAGCTTCACACCCATCCCAGGAAAGAGAAGCTATAAATGAGATTTACTCTTCCCTCCTAACCCCCTCCCACTTGGTTTCTCATTCACTTACTGCCTCTTATCACAACCTGGAACTGTGGTGGCAGAACACGTTAACTTTAGCCATTTTGATCTCTGAATGGGAGGTTCAGAGTTTGAAAACACCTGGTTCTAGCTGCAAATAGTTGGGTTTGTTTGCTCAGTGTCTCTAAGAAGATCTGAGTGATGGGGCTGTCATTCTCCACATGGGAATTGAAGCAGGGGAAGGTTGGCGTCAGAGGCCAGATTCAACAGTCTCAGATACTTGAACCACTTTCCCCTCATCCATCCTTTCTAGGTACCTTTGAACTCCCTCAAAATATCCGACAGAGCAATTGTTTTCTTGGAGAAACCTCTGACTTGTTCTTCCAGTTCAGGGGAAATCTCCTCTGTCAGCTGGAACTGCCCCATCTCACACCTGGACAGAAACAATTCCATGTGATTGTATTTAGTTTACTGCTGATAAGTTCTGGCTAGTAAGTCTCAGCTCTGACAGGCTTGGTGTTAGAACTCCTCCAATTCTCACAGCCTGAGAGCAAGGGCAACATATCCCATGGTCATGCAACTTTCCCCTGAAAGGTCTCATTGCTGTTCTTCATCTCTGGTCTGGGGAAACTGGCTGGGGGGAGAAAGAGGAATTGAGTCTCCATGGCCAACTCACTCCTTGGCCTCCAGGTGCTGAGGGACAGGAAGTTCCCAGGTAAAGGGCTGAAGGGATCTGTCCACTAGGGACTAGATTGAGACACTAGCTCCCCCTCTCCCCAGCTCCTTCCACACATGTCTCCAAACAGCCCTCGGATGGGACGGACTCTTGTTCCGTGCTGCTCTGGGCTGAATGGCGTCCAGTGGCCAACAGTGACAGGCCCATCCTACATACCTGAGGCAGCCAGTCCTTCAGGGAGGTGACAGCTCCAGGAAACACTTTAGGTCAGACTGTGCCCTGAATGGGGAATTCCAGAGTTTGATGTGCAAAGAGGAGACCCTCAGAATTAAATGAGTCAAAGATATTTGTATCTAACGTCTGGCTGTAGAGCCCTGGGGAGATGTGGTGCTAACATCAGCTCCAAGCCCTTTCCCTTCACTATGAAGAGTGAGGTGAGTGAGAGCCACGTACCTACTCAGGGTGCTTCTGATGTCCTAGAAAAAAGACACAGAAAAGAATCTCAGGCCCATTGGACACACACAGGAGACGTCAGAGAAGGGATTTTGCAAGCATGGGAAGCGAGGCCATGCCCTGGCCCCGGGAACATGGATCCCCTGAGCATATGGGGCTTTGCCATCTCTAATAGCTCTGTGCCTGTAACTCTACACAGTATAAAATCACTCACGTGGCAGCAATGCACATAGAGTGACACTGCGATCTGAAAGCTGGACCTCAGCACTTGTGATTTAGGAGCCTCCCTTCCCTGTATGGGAAGCTGGGACATTTCTCCCTCAGGCTCACCTGCAGGAATTCACTCGCTGGCTTCTGACACGTCCCCTCCAGCTCACCGATCAGCTTGCTGATACAGGAAATCTGCACAGAGAGTTTCCTGACAGTGTCAGTCTGGAGCCTCCCAATCTCTTTGTCTAGCTTCTCCAGCTGGGCTAGGAGTCGCCGCTCTTGTTCCTCCAGGAACTGTCGCAGATGATGAAACTCAGCGACAATCATCTGCCTCTCCACTTGGGTCCATTTCTGTATGGAAACAGGGAAAGGACTGGTCAGGGGTATGGATGGAGCCTGGGGCCCTTTCATGGGGAGTTGAGTGCACAGCAGGGAGAAGTTCTTGGAAAATCCTAAAATTTGTAGGAAGGGATAGCTCAGTGGTTTGAACATTGGCCTGCTAAACCCAGCATTGTGAATTCAATCCTTGAGAGGCCATGTAGGGATCTGGGGCAAATCTATCAGGGATGGTACTTGGCCCTGCCACGAGGGCAGGGGACTGGACTAGATGACCTCTCAAGGTCCCTTCCAGCTCTGTAAGATGGTATATCTCCATATATTATATTATGTGTAATATTTGACTCTGCTTTGTGGTTACTAAGCAGAGGCATCTCTCCAAGCATCTCCTTTGGACCGTGTCCCCCTGAAAGGGAAGTTCCCATGTCTGTTATGGGCAGCATCTTCTCTTATTCATGGGCTCTGGGAAATCAGACACAGAGCAGCAGGGGGCAGGACTCAGCACCAGACTGATAGAGATACCCAGGGAGGAATAAGAAGCAAACAGGTGAATGCACCAAGTGAGCAGACAGCCCTTCAGGGGGACATTCACCTCTCTTGGGGAGGATGTCTTGGAAAGTCACAAAGGCTGGACATTAACTCATGCACTGACATGGATCTCACCCAGCAATCCATAATCTAGGAGCAACACAAATAAGCCCAACCTCACCAAATCCACACAGGAGTCTCCCTCCTAACACAGCCCTCCCATTGCCAGTCCCTGTTGGTCCATAGCCACAAGCACCTACCAGATACTCCTGGCTTTTCCCTTCTGCTGTTGTTTTCCTTCCCAGCACCTTTTCTCTCTCTTCCCTCAAAGCCTTCAAATGGGCCTCCAATTTTTCCTGAAGAAACAGAAATAAGCATGAGGGTAAACCACATCAGATGTTTGGAGTCCATTTGTCTGCTTTTAAGAGAGTCCCAGTTTTGTGGAGCTCTGCCCCTGTCCAGCATGGACTCAGCCTTGGACATGGCTTTGTCTATAGAAAAAGAGACAGGAGGAGACTGCTGATGCAGCAGATCACCTGTAATGGTGGGGGACAGATTGGGTGGGGCACCTTCATAAAGAATGATGCAGGTACGGATTAGGAAGGTAAAAATGCTTAACAATACTAATCATGGAACCGATTACAATTTTATCAGTGACAGTATTTTTTAACCTGCTAACAGTGAGGGCTGGTAGTGAAAATGGGCTCTCCTGGGGCCAGGGATCTCTCACGAGGTCTGCTGGGGGTGGCCACAAGAACTACTGGCCAATAGGAACTCCCAGCAGCTGCAGACTGACGTTAGCTGCCAGAAGGAAGCAGGCACTGCTGGAACAGTGGTGAGTTTAACCAAGAACTGGCACCAATAAAGAGTAGCTCATCAGTTAACCAGTTTGAACTTTTGCTACAATCCAGTTGAATCCTAGATGTGCCTGACATGGACCTGCACTTCTTGAAGCCCTGCTACGGGTGGCCTAGGGCTTTATCAAGGCATCTTTCCCTCTTAAGGGCCATACTTCATCACTACTCAGTGATGCTGAGGGACAGGGAGCAGTGCAGTCTAACAGTTGGACCAGGGTTCAGGGCTAAACTCTATCCCTGACGTGCTTGGCGACTATGAGCAACTTGCTGCTCCACCTTCCCGTCCCACAGTTTGTCTAACTGAACTGTGACCTGCTCAGATCAGGGACTTTCCCTTGCTGGGTATAGGTCTCAGATGCCATTGCCACCTATAAGGCAAATGACAGATTATTACTCCTGTTGCTCCAATCAGTAACAGCTCCTCCTCTTCTCCAGTCCCAAGGCAACTCACTGACAGACTGGCCTGTAGCTCCTATGTTCTAAACCTCTCTGATAGTTAACACCTTCCTTTGCGCAAACACCCCTCCTGTTACCAGTGAGGGCTGGGTTTCAGGATTCAGAGCCTCAGAGAAACATTTCCCACATCAGGTATCTATAAAGGCTTGACGTAAGTAGCCACAAAGCTAGAGCCTTTACATTTTACAGCACTTTTTGTAGGCTTTGCTGAGCTGTGTCACACCTATGTCCGGTAACAGTCAGTGAAATTAGCCTGTAATTAAAATACACTGGACAGCAACTCTATACCTTATACTCCTGGGCAGCTTCCTGTACGAGCACCACCATGTGAGCCTGGGATCTGTCATACACCCCACAGATGGGAGTTTGATTCTCTTCACAGAACAGCATCAGAGTCTCCTGGTGCTCCCTGCACACCCCAACCCATCTTGCTCTCTTTTCTGCTTGGAAACTCAGCGGCTTGGCTAGTTCCAGCACGTTTGTCAGCTGCCAATTGGGCGGTAGGGGTCCCTGCTGCACAGTATCTCTACCCTGAGGGCTAAGGAGGGCCTGGCAGAAATTGTGCCCACACTGCAGAGTGACAGGGGCTGTGAAATCCTCCAGACAGATGGGACGTGTCGATTCCTCCCAGAAACTTTGCATGGGGCTCTCTGCAGCCATGGCTGCCTCTGGGCTGGGGAACAGGGGTCGTGTCACTTTCCTGAGCTCAGCAATGGAGGGGCAGGTCCGGGAGGCAGGTGTGTGAGGTACCAGCACTGAGGATACAAAAAAAAATCAAAAGTAAAAACACAAAAAGCCCCCAAAGCTTTGCTCACCCCCTATCCCCACCAGGGCCTCCTCTGGGCTCCTCAGCCACCTGCCCCAGACAGACCC